CCGATACCCCATACCACGCCGCGCCCCACCGCCCCGCGCGCTCGAGTGCTGCCGCGTTTCCGCTCTCCGCAGCCAAACGGCGCGACACACGGGCGCAGTCAGGAAGTACACAACGTGCTGGAAGGGAGTAATTGAAGGGCTGGGGGATTAGCGACTCCTAGGCGTCGCTTTGGTAGAAAGTGAGATGCCACTACTTCCCAATTTATCTCTGTATGAAGTACTAAATTTTGACAAAAAATGAAAGTTCGCCGCACTTACGTCGGTTATGTATATACGAGTATGTATTTGTCATTAGAGTGTCGGATTAATCCGACTTTTGGCAGCTAACGGTGTTCCCATGCCTGTGCCCTGTTTTTATCAACTATCCACGCCACTAAGAGAGACATGTAGCGAGAATGGCGTATTCACATTACCTAGCTCACTCGACTTGCCTGAGGTTTTTTTTTTCGTAATACATCTATAGAAGCCGAGAGTATTTGTACTGGAAAGCTACAGCTTCATTTTTCTCTCGGTCGCAATTCATGTGCCACCTGAAGGACAAAGTTAATTACAAATTACTTATAATACAGTTACTTTACAGGCACATTTTGTCTGATAAACGTATTTCAGTGGCAAATGGCAATTAACTGCTGCTTTCAATTGCATTACGGTTAGTATAAGGAAAAAGCTATTACATTCTTCTGCAATATTGCGCTTTGAATTTTGGTTTAACTTCAAAGCCAAAAACATTGTCAAAGAAAGAGAAAATAAGGGTTTCGCCTCAACAGGGTTGGACTGAAGACGCCAGACTCCTAGTCATGCGACTACAATGAGAGCGCTACACGTAACAGATACAGAGAATACAAATCTGGTTAAAACCACTGTGATATGTGCTTTGAGAGGCGCTTTCCATTCCAGAGAAATAACAGCGTTGCCTTGGTTGCCTCCTCCTAAATTTCCAGTCCCTCTTCCGTTAAGCCATGTCGGTGTTTGCTTAAACCAAAATAACAGCGAATTGGTATAACAGTATTAATCACCTTTTTGTGAACCAGCCCCATTAGTTTTTTAAACACTTCCATTTTATGTAAGGTTAGTTTCCCAGCAATAAAATGCGAAAACCTGGCATGAATTGCTTCATGGGCGCTTCAAGAAACTTTCAGAAAAGTCTATCTGCTACTATCTAGGATTATACGTCTATCTGATACTATCAGAATTTCTTGGAACCACCGCACACTCTTACTAAACAAAACTCATTTTAAAAGTTTTGCGCCAATATCAGTGTAGATAGAAGTGAATAAGTTGTAGATGTTATTTAATACGATCTTTTACAACAGCAGGTTGCGTGTGTGTGAGTGAGGGTCTATGAATATTTAATAAACTAGTAACTAGACAACTTGTTATACCCACTGTGTTTTTATGACGTTCCATGTAATTAAGATTCCGTTGTGAAGGTGTTATTTAAAATGTTGACGGAATTAGTTTTCAACAAGAATGGACAAGTAAAAGTAAGTCTCTTAAAAATATTCCTCATCCCAAGGATACGATGCATGCATTATTACTATTACGAATGCGTAACTTATTGCACGCTTGCAGAAGAATATGAGATCGTTCCTTTCCGCGCTGGTCGGGGCATCGCAGACCGACGTAGGGAATGATGTGGCAGGGTCATACAACTTCCACCGTTCACTTCCATCGAGATTATTTGATTAATATTTCCAGACAATTCAATTGCTATGACCATTAGTTTCTTTGGTGTAGTGAATTTTTCATTCCTTGAGGTGAGGATGGCACTTTTCCCGCAGTATGTCAAGATCACGTGCCGACCTAAACGTCCCATCCCCCCTCCAAGTCATTCCACTCAGCCGAACAACTACCAATCAAGACAAGCTCTAGTATCTCAAGCAGTCTTCTGGCATGTGTGGTAGAGTAGTGCATGCCAGTGTAAGTGCGTGGGTATGGGGAGGTAAATGGCAGAAGCACAGGAAAGAAAGAACGCGCGAGGTCCGTGTCCCGTTTGATAGGCATATTCTGGCATTCATCTGGTGTTATCGAAGAAACCACAGAAAATTAGCAATCAAAGCAACGGCGACTAGAATCCTCTTGAAGTCAGCGGCTGAATTCGACTTCGCCAGAGTCGAAAATCCGCCTCTGCCAGGCCTCGGACTCTGGGAGTTCCAGGCCAGTGACCCTGTTGAGACAACGGCACTGCAAGAAATGAGCTAAACGCATCCACTCTTCAAAGGCCATCGCACGACGGTCGCTCCGTAGCTACGCGCGCGACCCGGCGAGCGCGTGGTCGGGCGCAGCGAGACCTACCTGTTGCCACCTACCAGCCGCCCGCCGCCAGCGGCGCCGCCCCCGCCGACGCCAGCGCCCACGCCGCCGTCACCGCCGCCAGCCACAGCGCGCCTCCCGTGCACCTGTGCGTCGTCGCGCCGCCCGCCTCTGCAAGCACACGAACAGGCCGCTCTTACCACCATTACTACATTCACACAGACATCATTCATACATTATTCATGCGTTTATATGAGTTAGGGATACATTCACGTATTCACTCGTTCATATACATATATCGTTCGCGGGTTGCAATAGTGACAAAACTCGAAAGTTCAGATGTTGAGGAAAAATAGTTTGAAGCAGAGCTGTGTCGTAGACTATAGTTTTACGTCTACGCGTGTTTTTGTCACGTAATATACATGTAGTCTACGTGACTCTGTACGTATAAACTATACAATCTGTGTAGACTATTTATTTTTCATATGAAATAACCAAAAAAACATTTATAATAAATAGTAATAGTAGAAGCACGTTGAAATGTAAAATTAAAAATTTAATTTTTGATTCAGTGGTTCAAACAAAATATACAATTCCTAATAAAGAAATGACAAGCCCCATTACAGTAGGTACATGTATGAACTTGCACATCAGTCTACTTTGCATCCGACCATTTCCCTCAAGTGCAGTGTCACCAACCCGGTGCGCAGAAATATTCTGCAGATCCCTGTTCATTTCGCCAACTTTTCCCCCCTGAAAGAGAGGCGGACCCAATAAGTATTTCTTATGGAAGGCAATTCCATTCATGACAGTCACCCACCCTATAAATATTTTGAAGCAAAAGAATGTAATTTAAAAAATGTTAAAAAATAAAAATAACATTTATTCATAATGGTAGTACTTCTTTCAATGTGATCCAATCAATTTGTAGTATTGCGATGGATAAATTGGAGGTGGAACATGGCCCGCGTAGCTCCGCCCCTGTGCTTGGCTCGACAGGCCGATACGAGCCTTGGCCGACCAGTGGAGGCCCAGCCTCTGGGCCATGGGATAAGGGATTCTCGTGGTTACCATCCCCCACCGTGTGTACTGGTCTTCATAACTTTAGGCTGGGCCAGATTACAATTGTCTACATAGACTACCTTTGTCTACGCAGAATAGATTATCAACACGTTCTTTATGCGTAGATGCATATCACTGATTTGAACTATTCACAATGTATTGAAATGCACGGTTTTTGCATTTCAGTACAAGGATGGTATTGAGTGTACAAGGTATTTTAAAATTTAATATGATGTATAATATATCAGCATGTCAAAGTCTATTAGTACATACGTTGACGTTGGTAAATCACGACCATCAAAACAGATTCAACAAATCCAATGAATTATTAAGTTATTATACCGACTTTTCGGGCTAAGTTAAATTCTGACCATCATCAGGGTAAATGCAAGAAACTTATGGTTGACATATTCCAAATTACGATAAAAACATGTTTTCATTAGCTAGACATCTTGTTCACTAAGGGACATTATAGTTATCAGAGATGTAAAAAAAGTGCATTACGATATTTTTTTGACTGAAAAAGTAGATTATTAATATATAATCCTATCTACATTATTATAAAAATTAACACAGAAAAGAAAGCAAGCAATTGAATTGTTTAAATTGGATGCTTTTTTTATTTCTATGTATATTTTTTGACAACAAATTCAATTGTTTTGTAAATAATGGACACTTTATATGTTTTTGGAGTGTTTATATGTTTATGAAATGCAAATTTCTGTATAGAAAAAGTTTTTTTCAAACCTTTGTGTTTTTCAAACAATGTTTTAGGTGCTTATTTTGGTTCAACCATTTGAAAACTTGAAGGAGATTATTAGACAAAATGAGATTAAATTGATTTAAAGGTTATTTTCGAATGTCGCATTTTTAGATGTAAATAATTTCAATTAAAAAAAGTGCCCTACAGAAAATCCTGCTAATAAAAACTGCCCGCTGGGGTAGATGAAATTGTCTGCTCAGAAATGGCACACGTGTATAAGTGTGTTAAGAGCAGTGACGCAATAAATGTAAGTATTTGGTCGGAACGCAGAATATGGGAAAGGGCAAAATAACACCGTATTGATTCAATATATGATTTTTTTCTTCAATTTCAAAACGGTTTGCATTATTTCTACATGTTTCCGAGTTCCAATGACACCTCTCACAATGCCAGAGGCTTGTAGTTTTCTTTTACATTTGTGCGCGTATGGGAAATGAGATAAAGAATAAAGTAGATGTCATACACCATTTGTTTCTTCATTAGTGCGAAAGGTGCGTGAGTGAAACTCTAAAAAATGCGTAATAATGTTTTGTAACGTAATAAATCTACGTTGAAATCAAATATTACAAAAGTACTAGAATATATTATCCTATACAAGGTAAATAAATTAATTTAATAACCAGCATCATTATGTTCTTCCCATTATTTAAATAAACTCTAATAATCAATCTGTTCATGACTGTTTCGACCTCAGAAGCAGTACACGTTGAAGTAATTCTGAATTATTTTCCTATTTCGCCTCTGCTTGTAATTCACAATCTCCTGCAAAAGTGAGAGGCTACATAAATATTAACTGACATTGTTCAATCTTTGTAATTTTACACGCGCCGTGGTATTCCGAGTAAAGTAGCCACGCGTCATCTTGGCAACGTGAGCACTGACCATCGCGCATCGCATCCTTCCATTTCCGTGCCTCTTTCAATAGCCCCCTTCTCCATGCAACGTGACGTCGACCCCGGCGCTGTCGGTCCCTCGGCGTCCGCGGAAAGAGTTACGCGCAACTTCTGACGCGCTCGCGGGGGCGAGTGGAGGCGACTCGACTCACGTGGAAGTTAAATAAGAGCAGGCCGCGCCGCGTGATACGTTGAGCTAAACGAGTGATGAACTTTCCCCTTAGTTCAAATATTTGCCTGTAAATGAAACCGCCATTACTCGTCTGCCGCTAGGCTAAAGTAAATATCAAATTAAAAAGCTTATGGTCCCAAGTTCAGCTAACATAAGCGCTCGTATAATGCATAATTCCGTGAGAAGTTTATATCACGGTCAAAAGAGATAGTTGTGTCCTACAACTTTGTTATCAGAAATATATAATATTTTGTATAATTTGAGCAGTCATCAGACATGCCACAGTAGTACACATTGGGGAATCTTTTTTCATTTGTGTTTGTTCCGTAGTACCGCTACTTTTTTCCGTTTTTGATCACGTTTATTCAGAGGGCAGCGAGGATATTTTTGGAGAGGAAAAGACACTAGAGATATATTGTCCATTCCCTAGATGTTTTCATATAAAGAGGGAGATAGGGGAGGGGTTTTTATATATGGTAGAGAGAGGGAGAGGTTGGGACAAGGAGGGGGAAGAAAGAGGGATAGAAAGGGAGAGGGAGGAAGTGAGAGGAAGAGTGAGGTTAGGAGAGAGGGGGGAGAAGAAGGGAAAGGGAGAGAGGGCGAGAATGGGTTTGGGCATAAAGAGGATAGGAAGGATTGTCAGGTTGCTAGCCAAGAACTAGGGAGTGCAGGGCGTGGACATTGATGATGGAATGATAAAGCTTGTGGGCGCGAGGGTGGCCGAGAGGGGGTTCGGGGGGTGGGGGACGAAAGTAAGTGCAATGGTGAACGGGCCAGCGAACGGGGCGGCGAACGGGCGACGAACGGGCGAGCGAGCGGGGAGCGAACGGGCGAGCGAAGGGGCGATGCGAACGGGCAGCGAACGGCGAGCGAACGCGCGAGCGAGACGGGGAGCGAATCGGGCGAGCGAACGGGCAGCGAACGGGCGAGCGAACGGGCGAGCGAACGGGCGAGCGAAGGCGAGCGAACGGGCGAGGCGGGAGGGTCGAGGCAACGGGCGTAGCGAACGGGGAGGCGAACGGGCGAGCGAACGGGGAGCGAACGGCGCGAGAGAGAGAGAGAGAGAGGAGAAGAGAGACAGAGAGAGAAAGCGGAAAGGAGGGCAGTGGGCGTGTGAGAGGGCGGGAGGAAGGGTGGCAGGGAAGGAGGGTGGGCTGGTGGCCGGGTCATTTCCTCGCAAATGGCGGCCTGTTTAACCGCGTAATGCCGCAGTGTTTGTCAACTGGTGGGATATTACGTGGCTGCGAACGGAAACGCGGTGGAGGGACAACGATATTTGCGGCGGTGATGTGTGGACCGATAGGAAAATGGCCGCAAGGGTGGTGATTGGTGTGGTTTGTAGAGAAATAGAGGAAGTTACAGTGATGTCGATGCTTGTGGTTGATGTCGTAGGTGGCAAAACAGTAGTGATTGGAGGTCCAATTGCTGCTGCGTATTTTTAGAACGGATCTCGTGATTTCTCAATTTTATACAATAACAAAAGTGATCAAATGAATGGTAAAAGTGGTGTTACAAGTTTTGGCAGTCGTGATGATTTTGTGTAGTAGTGATTTTGAAGATAAATGATGAACTGTTATTGCGATAGTAGTTTGCCATCCAAATGTAGTTACAATGTTTAATGAGATAAATAATGGTTTTCGAATGAGTTGAGTATAGTGTTTGCGGGGAAGAAATTTGAAATTATGACGTTCGTGGAACTTGGTTATGGAGATGGTTAAAATAGTGGAGACAACGATATTCAAGACGTACATCCCTTAAGAAACCATAAACACGTTCAAGTTAAAAATAATTGTACAAAAGATTATTGTATTCTTCATGCTTTAAATACGTGAGTGTAATCTACATGGAGAAAAGGTGGGTTTAACATGAAATTCATCAAAGAAAGAAGCAATAGCAATGATGTCAACATTGCTAAAAATAATGTTATATTCAGTATCATTATCAAAAATATTTCAATGGTGAATTTCAATATTTTACAATGGAGTTGGAGTTGCAATAAAGTCTGGAAATGGAATAAAGACATTCATCGGCGATCAATGGTATGTTCGGAGAACTTGTTTTCCCCTCGTCGGTGCTCCGCAATACACCGCAATCACGTGACCTCTACCCGTCAGAGTCATGCCGTTCATAATCTGACTATTCTGAACACAGCCAGTAAGAATAATTTGTGTACACGCTGTGATCTATCAGAAAAATCACTTTAGTTTTAGCTTATCTTGCTTCACAATTAGGTGTTTGGGTGTTTCAGGCATAAACGCACATTAAACGCAGTTCACTGATATCGATTAATTGATAATTTCGTGTTTTCAGGCGCGTCAACTGGTACGGTCATCGCTCTCGTTAATGTAAGTATAGTGAATGTTTTAATTGTAAGACGGCGCTTATACTTCTTCGGTGGATCGAGATAGTCAGCGCCGACCTGCACGTCGGTTTGCGAGGTTTTTCCCAGGTATCTCCCCCACCGGCGATGCGCCGCGCCGGCCGGGACAAGTTCCAAACTCCCAACTGGTCTCTCAACATACGTGCTAATGTTGCGCATGTAAGTGAAAGTATTAGAAATAAGGGATCATAATGGTGTAAGGAAGAGTGAGAGGAATTCGTACGCGGTCCATTGCCCGTGTGTTAGGGTGCTACTTGGGCGATCACCTGATGTAGAATGGGAGAAACCACGGAAAACTACCGATCAGAGCAGCCGTCCGCTGGATATTCTCTTCCTCACAGCCACTGAACTCCTAGCTCGAAAATTCTGCCACCTTCGGACGCGAACCCTAGATTCATCCGGTAAGAGTGACAGCAGTTGATGCCTTGAGCCACCTCTGCCGATACTATGCCTATAGAAAAAATGCAAGTAGTTCAAAATTATGACTGATCTCTGCGCTCCGCTCACCTTAGTTCATTTCAGCGGCGATGTTATTCGTACATCGCGAATTCTCGAAGTCACTGCTCATTGACCACCTGAAAGACATTTTTGTTAATTTTTTCAAGAGATCAGCTGACTTAAAAAAATAATATTAATGAACTATTGTTATATGGTCCCGATCAAAAGGTGAAGCATACAAGACCAAAACATTTCCTGGAGTACGGAGACATAGAGCGCGACCAGCCTTCAAACATAATCCTTGCATTTCTGCACACACTTGTAGGTTAAAGTCGTTCGGACCATCTGCTGTCCTATGTTAATGCAGAGTTTGCCATAGACGCAGATATAGTCTCACTGTGGTGAAGTGAATTTTCGTGCGCTCATAATGCTGCATAAGTTTACTCAACCTAGATTCACAGCTCCAGTCCCTGCTACATAGAGCATTACATGTTCGATTCGACCAGAACATGCCTCCCGATATTTACTTAAGGCATCTCTTCAGAACATGTGTAGCAGTTGGATTGATTGTTTGATTGATTGGTTTTCCATGCTAGTCAGCTGCCCGTGATAAGTGAAGCGAATGGTCAGTAGCCCCATTATGGTAGTGCATGCCCCGAGGAATGGCAGTGTTCTTCCTGCGTTGGAAGGCAACAACGGTTGCCGTGCTACACAACGGCAGGGCTTTCCGTCACCAGGTATTTCCCCCAGCGAGGCACCGCTCCACCTGGGACCAACTCTAAGCTTCTCGACATGTGTGCTAGTGCAGTGTATGTAAATGCATATTGAGTAAGTGGTGAGTATAAGACAGGGAAGAGGAAGGAAATATGGTGTGCGGTCCGCGTCTTAAGTTACTGCTCCGCCATTGATATTGATCGGGCAAACCACGGAGATCTACCGTTCAGAGGAGGTGCGGTAGAATGCTATTCAATTAAGCGGCTCAGTTTGATCTAGTCTTTTAACTAGTGTCGAAAATCTGCCACCATCGGGATTCCAACCCTAGTACATTCCATTCAGAGTCCATGCAGAGGCATCGGCAATACTGGCCTTAGGCGAAAGTCAGCCGGTGATGTCGGCCTGGGCTGCCAGCAGCTGCACCGCTACGCCACTCTAGTGAGTCGTGCTCTTTGATTATTGTCAAAGTCGCTGTCAAGATTATTGCGACGCTATCATACTCTGGTCAAGCTTCTGCGTTAGCAGAGTTCGAGTAACACTCCAAGACAGTTGACAGATCGTTATTTATGTTTATTGTAAAGATGTTAGATCTCATGCCGTGCCAAATGTTTTCATTGTTGATGTGTTTCTGTTGATCCAATCAATATGGAATAATCATCATGAATCTTCAAAGTTCCTCTTTCTATGTATAATGAGCATGTTTAATATCTTAATTACCAAGTGAAAAAAAAGTAGAATTTCGGAATATTCAATTCTTTGAAGTCTACTACAAAGCCGAATCATTTTTTGCTTTGCGACTGAAGGTGACAAATTTGATATTATTTTATTTGAAAAAATTCCTAAGTATTTCCAATACTTAGATTCACGAACGTTATTACAATGTGTTAAATATTATGTTAATATAAATATTGGATATATTGAGTAAAAATCACAATTCACTCCTATATTTTGAATTTTAGTTGTCGAAAACTTGCTTAATGTTTATAATGTACTATTTATCTTCCTATTTCTTTGTAGAATTTTGTTAATTAGATTCAGATATAACTAGATTTTTATAGTTCTCATAAACAATAGCAATATCTTCTCTACACCACATTTCAAAACCATTTTGTTTTCAAAGTAAATAAAAAAATCGAAAACACAGAATACGATTTCATTGTGCACACAATGATATTCTATTATTTACAAATCGAAAATGATGGTGGCTCATTTTATTTGAGCGCACGGAACGATTGGGGAAGCCGTGTTGTAGAGGGAACGACCGCTGCCAATCGCAGCTGTGGCGCCAAGCGCGGCCGTTGCGGGAAGCGTGTGGGGTGGGGGCAGCAGGGCGGGCAGCGGTCACACACAGGCCACACATAGACACGTTCTCACACACACACACACATCTACACATACAAGCAGCCTCCGGACTGCGCAGTGGACCACACGCCGCCGGAAGCGGTCAACGCAGGTCGAGGGAGGCCTTTGCGGAAACGGTGGGATGAGACAAAGGGCAGGGAGGGGTGGGGGTAGCACGCCGGTAGCAGGGTCAAGGACAAAAGTGCGTACCAATCGGAGGGATTTCTTTCTTACTTTTGAAGTTGATAAACACTAAAAAGTATTTAAGGTGGCCCGATATCTTACAATAATTTCAACAAAACGTATTGTGGGTAAATTATCAGGATTATTGCATAGTTCTGCAGCATACTGCTACTTTAATAATTCTTTATAATTTATTTTTACAATTTTAAAATTATCCCCTTTATGCTCTTCAATATTCTTCCCCTCCGCAATCCCTAAATCACTGCATTGTGGCGGGGAGTAGGGAGATGTGGGTGTGGCAGGCCAATGGTAGGATCGTTGACTAAAGTGTATTTAAATCGGGCGGATTTCTTATTTACTTTTCTGGTTGTCAAAAAATAAACAGTATTTTAGGTGGTTCGAAAATTTTCTGCAATTTAAACAATGCGTAGTGTAACTAAAAAATGTTGATTGCAGATTGCATTTATTACCGTACAATTCTTATAACACATAACGAGTTTTTTTCCGGTTTCCTGAGTTCGATAATACATTTTACATTCACACATTGATTCGATTGTTTTTGTGGACTGCTGGTGCACAGTTCGACCAGCCAAAGTCAACTCACGACTGAGAGGTGCAGTTGACTCGGCGGGTGAAATGGAGAGAAAGGATGGTATGTGAGTGGACTGTGTATCATTTGACTTTAACGCAAGTACAGTTTTTCCGTATGAATAGGGGTCCGTTTTTTTCGTGCCGATCTTTTTAAAACGGAAGTACATTGATTAAATAGTATTTATGCATAAAAAGGATTTTTAGTATATTTTTTTCTAAAAAATGTGTAATATTATTCTTGTATTGTTATTCGTTATAAAAAGAAATTTTCGGTACAATAAACCATTACTTCGAAACTTGAACTAAAGCAGGCTGATGGAACAGTAATGTCGGCGGTTATAATCAGAATTTCTACAAACCAAAGCGCGCCCTTCGCGTCCAACGCGGCTGAGCCCAGCGGTGCGCGGAAACATGCGGTGCGGCCAAATCAATGAGCATCGCGGGGCATATTTGCGCGGGCGGCCCAGGGCCACGACCCGCCCCGCCCGGTCGGCAGGTGCTCGCAACGCGGCCCGCGCGGCCACATCTGAGGCCGCCGCGCACGCCTTTGTGGGCGCACCGCCCCCGGCACCGCTTCCCGCTCCGGCCTCCGCACGCAGCCACGTACCCTTTCGCCCTCGCCCTCGCCCTCATTCACGCTCTCGCCCTCGCCCTCGCCCTCATTCACGCTCTCGCCCTCGCTCGCCCTTCATTACCTCTCGCCTCGCTCGCTCATTCACTGCTCTGCCTCGCCTCATTCTCGCCCACGCTCATTACCCTCGCTATTACGCTCTCGCTCGCCTCATTCACGTCTCGCCTCGCCTCAGTCACGCCTCGCCTATTCACGCCTCTGCCTATTCACGCTCGTCGCCTCAATTCACAGCTCTCGCCCTCATTCACGCTCTCGCCCTCATTCACGCTCTCGCCCTCATTCACGCTCTCGCCCTCGCCCTCGCCCTCATTCACGCTCTCGCCCTCGCCCTCATTCACGCTCTCGCCCTCACTCTTACCCAGGCCTTCGCCCAATCCTTTGCCTATGTCATCACCCACACTCACTTGTGCTCACGCTCACTTTTTCTGTTTATCTATGAACACTTATTGTGTTAACTATATACTAAGTAATATGGTAAAGGAAATAATCTCCACAAAAGTTTACCTTTGTGGAGATTATTTCCTTTACCTTATTATGAATTATCTGCTACCACCACGGAACATACACTAAGTATTAACAAAGTGCGAGACTAAGATTTGTTCAGTTTTACAAAAATTCTGCGGCATTGTTTCAAAGAATTAAAAAAAGTTGATTTTCTACCTTGGTACCTGATTGAACAAAATTATCTTTTGAAAGTACTTCAAAAACGTTCAAAAATTCTTAGTTATATTGGTTAAAATATGTGGCATATCTCGCCAGGCGGAACCTACCTAGTGCGTTGCAGAGAAATGTGAACTTTAAAAAAAACGATGGTTTGATTTGCTTGTAGTTACAGAAAACGTTACATCAATTTTAATGAAAAATGTTTGTTTCGGTCCTAGGATAACTAATGAAACTGTTTTCAACTCTTTCGGTTGATACCTTGGTAAACACCCATATTTTTTGCGGGATGCGAACGCGACAACTTTGGGTTCGCTTAGTTATTCGATGCTCTCAACTCGCAGCACCACTCGACTAAGCCCGAAAATACACACGATGCGATGACGTTTCCACCCCTCCCCCCCAAACAAATGTAAATGGCTTTGTAAAATGTTTAAAATTGAATTCTATTTTCGTAAATTGTGATTTATGGACGCTATTTTTGGAAAATTTTGTGAATAATTACTTCCTAAATTAACTGGCAGAATTGCAATTTATTTTGAATATCATTTCAGTGCCGTACTTGCTGTGCAAAATATACACCATGGAAATTACCTGTACGTCGCACTCGCATGCATGTAAGCGCGGCGTCTGTTGACCGTGAGTATAAAGTATTTTTGAACGAGCCAACTACTTTGGTCATCAGTTCCATGTGTACAACGCATGTTAAACTACGCAAATGGCTAAGTTTTTCTGTGCTGGTTGGTGAGATTCAGAACCGACCTATACGCCGCCTTGTGGGTTTTCCCGCACCAGTTGTTTTCCCCACTAGGTTACTGCCCCAAGCGGGGGAAAACCAAGTTTCCGATTGATCTGCCGACGTGTGTGGTAGTGTAATGAATGCATGTGTGAGTGGGTGTGAGGGAAAGAGAAGAAGAGAGAGAGGACGCTAAGGAATGGTTAAAATCGAGGAAAGTAAGTGGTTCGTAGGTGATTACGAGTGTTGAATTTTCGTTGTTGAATATTCATTGGTATGTCAATTTTTACACTCGTGGTATTCAGAAATACTTCAAAAGCACACTCTTGTGTTGATAAAAATAGTGGAAAACGTTTAAAGATACCGAAACAATGCTAATTAAATACGTTTTCTTCATTCCGTTAAATAATTTTCAAATAATCACTATCAAATGACGCACGATTTTGACACAAAAACGCCTTTAGAGAAATGACTGGTTGCCACGCTCGGGCACTTCCGATTGCTCGTTCATCAGGTTAAAACCTTCCGAGCAGTAGGCCGGCTGGGCGAGGGTGGCTGTCGGCACGTGCATACGGCCCGCCCACTGCACGCCCCACGCCCCGCTTTGTCCCGCACGCCCGCCCGCCCCGGCACGCGCGCCCTTCCTGCACAGATGCCCGACCTCTCTCACTCACCACCCCGCCCGCGTCACCCGATCCGCCCCAATGATCCGCCTTACCCTGTTTTTACTCTATCCAGACGTCTCTAGCATTTCGTGCGCGGGGCTGCACTGGTTCCACTCGGGCTAGGCCCCGGCTTCCGTCCTCGGGGCAGGGCGGTAACGATTAGGGTATGCGACTTTTATACCCGAGTTTGCGGGTTCAAACCCGCTCGAAACCATGGAAGGACGAAAAATCAATCGTTCAAAGTCTTTCGGAGGAGAAGTGAAGCCGGCTGTCCCATGTCAGTAGATTTACTACATGTAAAATATCCTTAAGCCTAAATGAAGCCTCTGAGCTAAATTCATATCACTGGTTTTGTAGCCCAAGAAATACCTCCTTTCTCCGCTAGTTTCTTAAAAAAGCGCAGCGAAATTTGCGTGGTCGCAGGGAAGAGCAGGTCTCATGGCCAGTCTCTCCACGTGAAATAAGTCATCAATTCAATACAATTCCCTTCCATTCTAATTCACTTTACCTCGTTGCAGTACTTCTCTTCTTTGTACAGCCGCGTTCCATCCTGTCACGCTTTGCCTCATCTACCCACCCTCCGCCTCCGCCTCGCCGTACCCTGGCCAGCAAACGCTTCCCCTCCCACGCATCGCCACACCTCTCTCATCCCGCCCGCAGCACCATACATCACCGTGCTTCACCACTCCTCGTTTCGCACCGCCCCACCTTCCACAGCCATCTCCGCCCTGTCCCTTCTTTGTTATGTTATGTTGTGTATCGAATTTTTACTGTCGTGTATTGCTTTGCCCCTCGCCGTTGCGTCTCGTGTCGGATCACCTGAATCCGCCACGCCTCACTCCTCGTTCCAGTTTTCCACTCTCTCCCCGCTTCAGCTCGCTTGCCCCGATCCAGCTCGTCTCGTAACACCCTTTTCTGCTCTACTTTGTCACACCTTGCCACATCCTTTTCTGCTCCGTTGTGCCTCGCCTACCTGTCCTCATCATCTCTCCCCGCCCACTCGACACAGCCATCCGTCGCCACGCCCCCGCCTGCTTTACAGCGCCCTCATTAGCTCCGAGTCCTCACCTCGTCTTTGCCTGCCTTTCTCCGCTCCACTTCTTTCAGCCCCCACCCCACCACAAGCCTTTCCGACCCCACCCATCCGTTCTCACTATCGCAAACCGAGCGCTCTTCAGCTCTACAGCTTGACCACACAATATGCAGCCCTCTTTCTCCTTGCTATACCTGTTCATTTCTCTTTCTTTTCGTTCCACTCTCTCTCGCTACGTTCCTGCCTGCCTCGGTTCGCCCACCCGTTCCCACTACCCTTCCCTTTCGTCTTGATGATCTCCGCGACGACCTACTTTGTTTCATCCTGCCTTTTACAATTCCGCCTCTCCTCGCCACTCCCTGCTCACCTCGTCCTGTTCGTATCCCACTGCTCCGTTCCGCGTGGCTCCAGACAACCTCGCTCTGCCACCTCACTCCCTTCAGCACCGCCCACCCGTCCCATCCGCCCGTTCCCACTATTGGCTTAAGCTCCGCGTCCTCTCCCGTTGTTTCATGCCTCTCTTTTTATCTTTCCGTCTCTCTACAACCCTCCCATGCCCACCTGGTCTCGTGCCCCCCCCTTGCACCTGTGCCCCGCGTCGTTCTGCGTCGCCCCGCGTCGCCCCACCCAGCTACACCCTGACGCTTTCCGCGCCTCTCCGCCCTCGCACTGCGCATTTGTCACGTTTAAGCGCCTAACGGCGACCGGGGGCGGCTTGGGGAACGACGACGCACCGAGTGTGGGGGGGCGGTTGCGGGGGCGGGGGTCGGCGTGCGGCTGTGGCCGCGGGGGCCGCGGGCGGCGGGTCGCGGCGGGGGCGCGGGGGCGCGGGGCGGGGCGCGCGGGGGCGGCGGGAGGGGGGAGGGGGGGGGCGGGGGAGGCGGCGAGCGGTAGGCGGGGGCGGGGCGGGGATGCGGGGAGGCGGCGGCCGGCGCGGCGGGGGCGGGGCGGCGGCGGCGGGCGGGGCGGCGGGAGGGCGGGGCGGAGGCGGCGGGGGGCGGCGGGCGGCGGGCGCTTGGCGGCGGCGCGGCGGCCGCGGGGGCGCGGGGGGGGGAGGCGGCGGCGGGGGATCGGGAAGGGGGGTCTAATGAACGCCTCGCGTCTCGGCCGGCCGCGCACGTACATAGCGCGGGCGGTAAAAGGTTGGCCATCCATTACATCGCGGACCCTCCGCGCCCGCCACGCACGCCTAACAAACGTCCGCTTCGCAGACCAACGGCCCCTCGCTCGCACGCCCCGCCCCGCCCCGCCTCGCCCTGGGCTTCCGTCTCACTTGGCCCAATGACACGCCTTGTCTGGACTCGATTTTTAGTCAACGAGATTTGGTACGTTTGCGTATATGTGCAACTATAGTTTTGAACTCTGGTTAGCTTTAACTAGCTCCACCTCTCTCTCGGTCGGGAAAACTTGCTTACCTGCCTGATGGGTACATTCACTTGATCCAAAGGGCCGCGACCGGCATTAACTCAGTCTCGCCCACACTCCCATAAGCTTGGTCTGATTTGCTTGGACTGAATAGTATAGTCTTGCCTTGAACTGCGTAGATTCACTCTTATTCGACCTGATTTGAGAGTAGGTTCGCTCTGGCTAGAGAAATATTGCTTCAACTGGCGTAGGTTTGCGCTCAGGCGACTAGGTTTGCTCTGGTTCGAGTAAATTCATTCAGACTCGTGTAGACTTGATCTAGCTCGAGTAGATTTGCAAGAATCCCAGAATTGTTTTCACTAGTTTAGACTCAACCTGATTCGAAGAGATTCGTGAAAAGCCCTGACATACATCAACTTACCGGATCCTCTGACTTGCCCTGACTCTCATAGATTTGCAAAGTGCTCTCTCTTGCTTAGATGCCTTTTCTTCCTATAAAATCACACATGCAAAATGTCGACCATAAAAGACATTATGATTCTGACAAAAAGTTGTTTACATATTTGTCTGTTCAAATTATCTTTCCTCATTTAATTTGTAAGTTATATTTGAACTGTAAATGGTTTCGTGACGTTTACGGAAAAGTTTTAACAGCACTTAATTGATATAACAAAATTCTTCTAGAAGTTTTCTATTATGCCTCGTAAATGAACGGCAAAACGATACTGTCGTTTCTTTATAATGTTTATGTAATCAATTATAAACAATAGCTCTCTGGCGTCAAGAACGAACTCGTCTCATCACTAATCTTTTCATAATGCTGGTGTGTTGATGGCTGTGAGTTAAAGTCGATGATGTGAAAAGTTCAGCGAAATCGGTCGCGTAGTTTTTGAGTCTTTATGCGACAGACATACGCAATTCAGTCTAGGGTCTTGCATTGACATCATTGGTGTCCTACTGGTACCGGTGCGGCATTGGTATACGACTGTTAAAAGCTGCTCTTATGCAGGTGTCTCTCCGGTCGTGCAGCGTACCCGTCGCCGCCGCCGCCGCTGCACGCGCGTCACCTGTTTTGCAGGGACGGTCTGGGGGCGGTGGCCCCACGCGTTTTTGCGGCGCCGTAATTACACCGGGGCTCGTCATTGGCCGCGACCTCCGCGCCCCTGCCCGCTGACGATGGAGTTATTGCCGCAATCAAATGACGCTCGCGGAAGGCCGTTCACCGCTGACTCGCTTCGTCCCGCACCGTCCTCATCCCGCCCTGTGCCTCCCCCTCCCAGTGCTACGACGCAACGCCTGGCCTCGCCCATCATCGCACTTTTCCCCCATTCCTGCATTTGTTTCCCTTCGAGTGTGTTTAGGCATTTAAATAATATTTAGGTAAAATTGAATCATTTAGTACATTTTATAATATATAATACATGTATTGAGAGATTTCAATATTGAAATTTTAAAAAATGTTTTCACGCAGTCATATTTTTCGTGAGCCAGCCAAACAGCGGTGAAAGATGGGTTGCCTACCAATCAGGGGCAAATATCACAAGTGTAGTTTTACTACACGAGATTTTGCAGACAGTGATTATCTTCAATCACTTACATGCTTTAGATGTTTGTAATATTTATTATGCCAACTACATATTTCTCAAAACAATTTGATTGTAAAATTTAATTCAGAAAATCAAAATTCCAATAGAAAAAAAACATGAATGAAAATGTTACTCGCCGGATGGCTGAGATCGTAAAGGTTGTAGTGCCGTAGCGAACTCGAACTGAAGGAACGCGGGTTCGAGTCCCTCCTCGGGTATGGTTGTGTTAGTGTTGGTCATTTCAGCACTCGCCATCACCATATCACATCAAACTGTAGCCATTTCGTTAATCTATAATGGTGGCTAATGACTTAGATGTTCGTGAGACTTTATATAAGAAAATATAGTAGTAGAGTACTGATCATTAGTTCGACATATTCTGTTTTTTTCAAATAATGAATAACACAAATGTATTATCATACATTTTAGAAACAAATGTATTATCATTCGTCAATGAGATGAATAAATTAATTGGTATAATAAACTTCAGAGAGAGAATTGTTTCCATTACCTTGAATTTAAGAAATTAACAATAAACCAATATATAGTTATGATTTTTTAGGTGGTTTTTTAACTTTGTTTACAACTTAATTATTAAAGAGCGAATTTTGTAAATAATTTTACAATATAAAAAGAGAGAATGGTTGAATGTCGATAGTATTCTGATCGTTGTCTATGAAGATAGTATGCGATATCTATTTTCATATCTGTTTATTGAATCAAATTAATCCCTTGTTCACTTCAACTCATAGGCAAGAAAACCTCGCTGTCGGTTGGTATTAGATCACCCTCTTCTAAATGAAATCCGTCTCCTACGATATTCAACAATATTTTGATTATATCTGTTGTGGTGGTAGGGATTTTTTTCATTTGGGAGACAGAAGTTCATGAAACACTAATATTCTATTGCGCTTTAAAAGCTAATTTCAAAACATTTCCGATAGTGAGCTATATCCAATTGTTTACAAATATTTTAAACTGTATCAATACAAAAACTAATGATTCCGTGTACGCGCTGGGAAGAGCAATTAGTACAAATGTGATTATTCAATATGTGAAATATTCAACTCTGTCGCTATTTTGTTTGGGAAATTGAGGATTGCGTGCTAAGCTTTATGTTCAATGATTTTCTATTAGTCTTCAATCATACTTTTCCTGAATATAAACATACGACAGTGAAAGTACCTACAACAAATTTTTAACCCATGTACACAAACGCCAACAGCCGAGTGCATAAATTCACACGAGCACCCATCGCCGCATAATCCGCATCGCGCGACCTGCGCCAACATAACCTTTATTCGCAGCCCATCCGCCACCTTGCCCCGACCGCCGCAACTGCCACATCGCGTCCTGCGCGCCTCCAATCCCATCACCCGTAACGAGCCGTCATCACCCTAATGACATTGCAGCGTCATCGCTGTTGCAGAGCGGGCGAGTAGGGGGGGGCGCTGGCGGCAGCCATGGAGCTGGGGGGAGGAAAGGGGAGGAAGGAGGGAGGAAGGGGGGAGGGTCGAGTCCGGGCCTCGCGCCAGAACCGTGTTCGTCCACGCTATTCCTAAAGCCCCCCCCACCCGTCGGATGGGCATACGCAACGTGGGAAACCGAAAACCTTCGGGTAAGGCGCACGGAACGTTCTTGGAAAGTTTGGGAATATACAGTAAAGCAGCCAACACTTTCTGTGGGGATGCTAAAGGTATGCGACTTAATTGTTTTCTTAGAATCTATTTTTATGATTATCGAATTTCAATAGTAACTTCTATTCGTTGATTTGTAGTTATGCATAACTTAATAAACTGAGATATGAATGGATTTCGTAGAAAATCAGTAAAAACGAAATTTGCTGAAATGGAAGTACAGACTACACACAATATACATGAACACACACACACGCGCGCATACTAGTGTTATTTTCGTGATATTCTTTTAAGTAAAACATCGGATCTTTATTCAATATCGAGCTTCAAACCGTGCTGAACATTGGTGTTCCCTCGCGTTCCCTTGTCTCTTCATATCGTCCCTTTTTCTACGTCATATATCCGCGTTAAACTCCTCGAATATTACTTTAGCTATGTTTCTTCGTACACATTCCTCCAAACTCAGACAACACAACACACTAATGAATTGTTTTGGATTTTCAAAATATCTAAATGTTCTCCAATTCCTTTCAGTTCATGGGACACAAATGTGAAATTTTTGAATTCTGAACAACACTTATGTTTTTGAAAACAGGTCCGTATAGGGTTTGAAGGAAGCAGGATTTTTTTGATCGATTGAATCCTCGAAGAGCATTGAGATTTAGAGAGAAATAGCGGAGTGATTACCCAAACCCACATCACGGAACAAACTACAGGTATCAGCGATGCAAACCACAGTAATTATGTCTTTGTGAAGTATAGACCGCACCCTGTTCGCCTACTCATTGTTTTATCGTGAAGCGCCGCGCTCGCGCGCCGTCCTACAGTCCGCCTGATCGCCTCAGTAAGTTTCGTCTCTGTGGATCGGGGTGGACAGAGACGACGGACGGGGGCCAATTTTCAGAGAACTTGGGAAAAGGTAAGGCCTGAGGGACTATAGTTGAAGGTAGTTGTTGAGGGGCGATGGGTGGGGAACAATATGTGGACACGATAGATGTTGCGTTGAGATGTAAAGATTGTAGTATGACATTGAAATAAATGATGCTTGAAAAATAGTGAAATGGGCAGATAAACAGGAGGCCCCTGAGGAAACGCCCCCAAAACTCGCTTTGACCTCCACAAATTCCACTTGCACCGGACGCATAACCAATGGGCGAGCAGCCTGGCCGCTCCCCAAACGCGTCTCCTCGTCGGAGCGGGATGGGCAGGGGCGACGGGCAGGCGGCGGTGGGCAGGGGAGCGATTGGTTATTACGAGGCGGCGCAAGAAGCAATGAATTCGAAGTGGGGCCCCGGCGAGAGTGCAAGTGTGAATGCGGTGTAGCGCTGATGAATTAACTGGCGCCTGGGCGTTAATGAGCTCTAGATTGATCCGCGCTCGCAAGGTAGGCCGCCGGGGAGTACGTGACGTGGGGCGCTGATGCAATGTGTTATATTCCCTTCTGCCGAACTGTTGGTTGCCACATATCAAAGGCAGGTCATTGTTTTTACGGGCTGGATTAGAGAGTGAAATTACTTACCAGTCGGTGTGCTGAATATTCCTGCAACAAAAAGATAATAATGCAGGTTAGCAAAAACGAGTGATTGTAATGGTCAGTGAAATAATGAATGAGTACAAATCAATAGCTTGCAAAAACTAATACACACGCATATTTGACCGTATTTACGGTCAAGTAGAAGTTATATATACCAAAATGAACTACATGTCAAGATATAAATGTTTGTCTCCGAGGAGAGATTTGTAAGCCTAAAATTAATGATTTACACAAAATGAGTAAAATGTTTGTTACTTGTACTAAATACATGCTGTTTCCGTTGCAACGTTGAAATAGGTGAACCCAAAGGTTAGGAGTTTGGGTCCCAATTGAGTCGTGAATGTATTCACCATTTGTTTGCGACTGAGTTTGTTTCTCATATAATGTACTACTTCTGAACATGTTATTATCAAGTATTATTGATCATGCATCATCATTCACCGTTAATTAATACTGTTGAACACCAACGCGCAAACTATATCAAAGAGTGTCCATAACCGCTTGACATGAGATACCGTTTATGAAGAGGAGAGCACCGTTAATTGCTCACACGTGCGCCCAAACTAATGTCATTTTTAAATAGACGAACACGTTGAATTTAGAATAGGACTGGCGCGACCACGATATACGCCCATACATTTATATAACAGTGTTAAGTTTATGCCTACGTGCCTACGGAACAGTAAGATGGTCGTTATACTTTCTTCTGTGGTTTCTACAGTCACGTATAATGTAATTCATTCGCTAGTTAAATCTACAAATATACAATACTTCGGTACAAATTGGTATTAGACATGAAGTAGTAATGATATTTCTAATTGTATGTATTTATAAAAAGTAATTGTTATTTCATTATTACTTCAATTTCAATTTCAATATCGGATATGCTTTTTGATGCATCGATACTGCGATTCGTTGTTTGTACTGATAAATATCGAATCGAATGAAGCATGACAATTCCGCTAATCACGGCCTCCAGCTGCGTCCGTAACTTCTCCCTGTGAACCCTGCACCTTGGACTTAACCTCCCTGCGCCCGCCGTCCCTCTCCAATTGAGGGATCCGGCCGGGAAGTGACTTGCGCAGCGAAGGGAGGGGAGGGGAGGGGAAGGCGCCGTGGTCGACGCGGTCGGGCGTCGGGGGGGGGGTCGGGCGCGCAAGAGGGAGTGGAGGGGCGGTCCGTGACGTCACAGTCGTCAAAGAAACGAGCGCGTTCCTTCGGAGCAAATCTGCGAAAGCGCCCGGGCGGTTGCGGTACAGACCGGAGGAGGAGGGCGGGGAGTGAGCGGTGTGGTAGAACAAGAGATTGAATATTCTGCGACGGAGGCACAACGAATTGGAGGAGAAGGAGGAATAGGACCTGCAAGAGAGTAGAGACCAAGAGGAGAATAGAAAAAGCAGGTGGAGTATATGCAAGAGGTGAAGAAGACTGGGATCGGTGGTGGGGATCGGTAGTGTGAGATAAAGGGAGGGGACGAGTTAGACAAATAACAAGAGTGATATTATGTGGGGGATCATTTAGAAACGCAGGTAAGAGAAATAACGGAGAAACTGGGAATGATGTGAATGGGAAGGACTCGTGGGAGAATGTTGGATTTTTGCGGGGTCTGATGAATGTGGTGATAATGTTTTTGGGTGAGAAAGGACGGAATGTAAACTAAGCATAGAAATCTAACCAGAAATAAGTGATTGGGTTGGGTAATGGACTGGTAAGTTTAAAGGAACTACCCGAAAAGTATTAGCGATTTTGAAGACGGTAAAGCGATCAGATGTACATGGGAATATACATTTCATAGGAATCATGGATACGACTCAATACGATACGACTCGATACGACTCAAACATGACAATTCTCATCCATGAAAACTGTAGAAAAAAAGAAGCCAAGTAAGGATAATATCTGAGGTAGTATATAACATGAATGATGATGCGAAATAGTACAGAGTTGGATATCGAAAAATAAAAACACGTTAGCGACAGAGCAACTCGACATGAAGTAGCGGGCCACGTTTGCACCGTACTTGTGAAAAGTATTAGAAACATCTGGTAGGTTTGCGTAATGGAATAGTACGAGGTTAGGGAAAATAGGAACGAAAACGGGACCGGAGAAACAAAAAAATGAGTCAGCTCAGTTTGCGGACGCCCAGGGCGCTAAGTGGTAAGTTTCAAAAGTGGAAGAAGGAATGATAATTGTAGAAAAGGTGGAGGAAGAAAATACCTAGAATATCCGGGAGACTGAAGTGGGGGATCGCAGATAGGTGAGAATGGACCGCACGGTAATGGTGAAACTAGAGTAAAGAAGGTCGCAAAACTTGAGAGAAACTTGTTCGTCACATGAACCATACCATTGGAGACGTGAATACAAAATAATCATTCAAGATAAGAAAACGTCGGAAATGAGAGAATACGGGTGGCCTAGCAAAGTTGTATGAGAGAGTTAGAAGTTAGTTAGATGGATTTGAGTAACTGACCTGGACCAGGTAGATGAGCGAGTTCAGTGAGAACAGTTTGTTTGTTGGAGGCGAGGTGCGGCAGGATGCACGTCTTACCGTATAATAAGTGATGTCTGAAACGACGAAATCAACTCTCACCTCATACGTAAGAATGAAAGCATCAGAGAGGCCTAAATCATCAGTGGGCTGCATTTTGTCAAAACTGGTATACTTGAATAAAACATTGTTATTTGTGAGGTAGATGAGAGTACGGCACACTCCCGTTTAACTGGCCCCCTTCAGACCTGCACCCACATTGAACAGCGATTTGGCTAGTTAACCTGTAGTTTTCTTAAAGGCATTAAAATATACAGCTGAACTGTTTGAATATTTAAAATCTAATATATAGGTTGATTTATGTTAATATGGTATGTAACATTAAGAAAAGTACCCTAGAAGAACTTCATTTGTAGAGAAAACAACTCTATTGTATTTACAGTACGTACCAGTATACATGCTTTAGACCTTTCTAAGCCGGACGATTAGTCTCACATAGCACAGTTCTGCACATACAAAAATCAATTTTGTTTGGAACCGTTGCGTCTAGAGACTTGTAGCGATTGGTGCTTGAGTCACCATAGTCTCAAACTCTTAGCGATCGAGCACGTGCGTGCGCTGTCTAAAAGGAAGAGGGGGCAACTTCATTTTTTAGGCCCTTCCAGAACCCCATTTCCATTATTTTCTTTAATTTGCTGATCACTTTTTTCTAGGAAATAAATAAAACACTTAAAGAAGAATGAGATTATAACTTAAATGATACAATTAATACAACTGCATACATAATACACAAACAATTAATACAATTAATACAGTTAATGCACGGTAGGATGTAGCTATTGTAATGGCTTAAAGGCCTTCGGCCTAGCCCCAGAGTATAATGTTATTTAATTTATAAGTTAAATAATTACCTATTAAATATAATAAAATGAATATAAACTGATTTTCTGTTCGACCGTTTGTAGGTTGTTGTAAGGTTGGGAACGCCTCTTCCCCAAATCTCATGTAAAATTTCTCAAATTGTCAGCCTAAAAGGAGGAAAACAAAGAATGTATCGTGTTTGCGGGAACGTAAATTTTTTTATTACGTAGACATACGCTTACGGGGTCTGTTTCGTTATTTCCAGTGGGGCCAGGGCCCTTTTTGTCCCACCCCCCCGTTCACCCCCCTTCGGCTGCCGGGTTAAAGCGGAGTGCGTTAAAAGAAGCGCACCGTAGCTCTTCGGCGCGGGTGGTGGGGTGGCGGGCGGCGGGGGTGGAGGCCCACCGCCGATGAAATAGCAGCCCCCTGACAGGCCCTGATCACTCCGCTGCCACCGGGAATCAGTCGCCGAAACGTGGCGGGGCCGGGACCTGTCGCGGGGCATCCGGGTGAGGCGGTTGCTGCCAGGGGCGGCGGGGCGGGGCCGTCCGTGCATCGATCAAGACCCCCCTCCCATCCCCACCCCCCACGACGCCGCCCGAGGAGCGCCTAACGAGCAACTAATGGTTTTAATTGAATCCGGCACGTCACAACTCTCCCGAGCTCCGCCGCCGCCGTCGCTGCTGCCGCCGCGGGCCAGGCTGTGATGCCACGTTCACCTCGCAGATCGCTCTAATTGCCAGCGAACGGGATGGATCCCGCGCAGACCCCGGCCGCGGCCGCGCCGCCAACGAGGCCAATTGAATAATAGCGCGAGAGCGTTGTTTTATGAGTGACGTCGCGCAATCGGCTAATGGTTCGCGCTGCAGCTTGCGAGCTCCGATTCGTTGGGTGCAGCTTCGGAGAAAGACAAGCCGTCTGTCTTTCCTTTGGCACCGCAGCCCACTTGATATATTCATCTAAGGATGTTCTATAATATCAAGTTCGATACTAATTGACATTGATTAACAAAACCATTGTTACATCATGAAGGAAAATAGGTTAGAGATATAATTAAAGCAATAGCTGCATTCGTATTAATAATGCAGATTGTGCTAGTTCCTGCTACGTTTTGAAGGTAGTTGCAATTAAGAGCCACAAAATCGACGTAATGAGTTACGATTTTAAACTTGGTTTCGAAGATTGAACCTAGGCATAAATAGTTAATACAATATAAAGAATAATTGCTCTTCTTGACAAAAACATAAGGGATATCTGAAAAGGTATTCAGAAAAATGAGTTAATATTAATGAATAGTTTACGTGCTCATGTACTCATGTGAATTATCATTCAATCAATCTTCCATTTATTAATTTTAGAATATTATTAGCAATATCATTTTTGGCTACATCAGAGGTAAAAACAGTAATACTCTTATCAACGAAAACTCTTACCATCTCACAGGAAGTAACGAGGTATACACGGTGACTGCAAACCATTTTGGTGTCATAACAGAGCACGTCTCGAGGCGAGGAAAAGCGTAAAAGATCCGTCATGTCTGGGAGATTGCATTTCACTTTGACACGGTTAAAGTTTCCCTTGCTCATTTTCAGTCGGTCACTTTCTTTCTGAAGATTTCTGAAGCAAACATTATTCACAAATATACGATAATACCGTATCTTCACATACAGAAATAGCTTTCTTGTTTGATGCTTCTTTGAATTCATTGTTGTTAGTCGTACCGAACACATAATCAACAAAGGATACATGAAACAATGTGTAAATTAAACTAACTTGTTTTAATTTTGCTAATGTTATCGTTTCTTTTCTAATGTTTTCTGGATTCTTACAAAATTTTTGACTTAATTTTGACTCTTGAAAATTGCCAAATTTCCGCCAGTTTCTTTCCCATCATTATGCTTTCTCTGCATTCGACCCACTGTATAGCGTGGAGTTTGCGAAGTGTAATGGGCTGTGAACCTACGGTGACCAAGCGTGTTCGCGCGAACGTTCATCACCACTTCTTCCTTGCTATACGTCCTACAGCATGGCCCTGCCGCCAGGAATCTTGGGCCACAGCACTCAACTACGAGCGCAATGTAAGTGGCGGAGACAGAAACAATAGAAATGACGTAGAAGCGTACATATTACGGCACGTGGCGTGCAGACGTTCATACACTGTCACACATTAGTATAGATAGTGTTTTTATTTAGGGAGATGGCCGTGTTCCTCGTCCTCTGAATAGTGATATCCGGTGTCGACTTACTACGTGCATGTGTAGCTCCATCTCGCAAATGTTCTCTCTCTCGCATTACGTGAAAACGTTTGGGACAGTGTTGCCTTCACCAATTGCGATCACCCACTCATCCATTATATTATCTCTTGAAATTCTAGATTGACACTTTAATAAACATACATACTTTAAACTGGCGTTGAATAATTTATTTACCTGAATTCTTTTCCATTTTTCTTCCCCAAGGGTAGCAGATTATACCCCTATCCTTAGGGATCAACTGCAAATATGAACGTAAGAAGATAAAAGAGGTGCTGAATATCATGGCCTTAAAGAAATTATTTGTGTAAAAATATTGTGGGCTCGTTTGTAAAAGGTTAGCAACCCCTCCTCGCTATTAAGAGTGAAGTGAAGATACGAGAATTCTGAACCTTTCTTCATTGGATATACTCACTCAATAGACCGTTTTGTTACTTTGCTATTTTTGTTCTTTGCACGTCCGTTAGTCTAAAAGTCAAAAGAAGTTCATTTTTTCACCATACGCTTTCATTGATTGTTTAGTGATTCCGAGGGCGTCAAGTGCTACGGTTATTAGTCCCGTAAGTTTAGTGTATGCTTTCATCCCGAGATTCGGCGGCGACTTACGTCGGCTTGCGGGATTTTTCCCATTCAGGTGTCTCCTAACAGTGGGGCATCGCCCCCAGCCAGGATAAGTTCTAAGCTCCCGACCGGTCAATCGACGTGTGTAGTGTGTGTTAGTGTAAGTATGTAAGGGGAAGGGATAGGTCAAGGAAGAGGTAGGAAAGATCGCGAGTGGTCCGCGGCCAGTTTGTAAGGGTACCGCTTCGACTTTCGTCTGATGTTGATTGGAGAAATCACGGAAAACTATCGATCAGAGCAGCCGTCCACTAGAATTCGCTTCCAGATAACGTCTGAATTTTAACCTAAATATGCAGTTAGTATCAAAAATCCTGCCACCGTCGGGACTCAAACACTAAGATCTCCTAATCAGAGGCACCACAGGACATCAGTTGATGCCATAAGCCACCGTTGCTGGTCCTCGCCATACGTTGTTTCAATGATCCACCATCTGCTGGAGAAGTCACATTACAAATTCAGCGCTAAACTTCCCGGGGGGTTGCCAGTGATAAACCAATGCTCTTCCCGCCCACTCGCGTAGCCAGCAGCCCGGTCGCTTCGCTTCGCCCACTGCGGCCCCACGGCTGGATCTCCCGCCCGTGTCCCGAGGTGCCGCGCGCCGCGGGACAGACACCTGGGGGACACGCGGCGCTAACCGCCCCGCCCTGTGGGACACCCCGTTTATCGCCATCCACATGTACTCCAATTAGACGACACGGAGCCGTCGAAACAGCAAGGGAGTTGGCGCACTGACTTCCAAACTCCATGTTCGCGGGTTCGGTAATGGATGAAGGGTGTAAAGTCGTTAATGTATCGTGTCACGCTTAAGGGATGTAACAGATCCTTGACAGATATCCGTAAAAATTTAAAAAGAATACCTCTGTAATTTTCCAATCAAATAAGACATCACTTTCTCTCGACTAGCCAGTTCGTAAATTGTAAACCGAGGCGACATTTGAAGGAGAATACCTAACGATGCAAGCGATCTTGATGTGCGCTGCGATGCAATGAACAATGCACATCGTTTAGGTAGCTGGAGTGCAATATTGTCTAACATTTAGTATACGACACCATACAATATTATTATTATTATTATTATTATTATTGATAACGATGATAATAACAGCAACATTTGCAGAAGCTCAAAAATGTATACAAAAAGTCAAAATTTAGGAAAGCGACTGTTTTACAATCAGACCCGGAGAAGTGAAATATTTCTCCAATTAGAAAATGTAATCATTCGCTCACGCATGGTTTCTGCCAACTTTCAAAACTGCTCCCCTCCACGACTACTTCACATCACCACCTCCAGAAATATAATATTCACTACACTTTCGGGGCTAATAACCATTGTAGATAACGCTCTCGGATACACAAAATAATCAAACAATTCTTATGATTTCGGCCATTCGAAAATTAGCTTCATTGCAGTCAATGACCCGC